CCCTAAGGGACAAACATAAATTCTTTATATCGATTGCTGTATTTGCATATGGACTAGAGGGCAGTGCTGGGTCCACCCCCTCCTTTTCTTATTGTCCTCCTTAGAAAAAGAGCTCTTCCAGCATCAAGATAATATATTCAAGCTATTGTATGAAAGGGCAATGATCTTAGTGAGTAGAGCGCCACCATATCAAACGCGGAGCCCCATTAGAAACTGAGAGGCATCCTGGTGGGAAAGGTCGGGGACATTTGGTCCCTTCCTCTAGGCTGACAGTATCTTTGTGATCAACTGCCGCATTAATTTGTATATGAGGCTAAAGACACTTGAGAAAACAATACACAATATAATAATGTTTTCTAGTAATGAATTATGTCTACATACCATCTGATATTGAGAGCATAATGGATGTATACATATAATTATTATTACAGACACACACAAACACACACATATATATAGAAATATTCTCTTTTTTATATTTTAGTTCCAATTTTTCCAAAGCACCTTTATTTCTCTTTCCTTCCCTCCCTCCCTCCCTCCCTCCCTTCCTTCTTTCTTTTCACCGTTTCCTTCTTTTTTTTCCTTATAAAACTCCACGTAGCAAGCAGAGCAGACATAATTAATCTGGTTTAGTAGATGCAGAAAGTGAAGCAGTGAAGCAACTTGTTTGTACCCCTGGGTTTCATAGTGAGTAAATATCAGAATTAGTACCCAGAGTTCTTAAAATAGGCCCTTTCAAAGTTTATCGCTAAAAGACAAGCTATAAGTGGTATAATTAACTTAACAGACATTCCTGAAATAGTTTAACCCTGTTCTTAATTTTTTGAATTGTGCAATTTCTGCAAGAGGCTGATCCTATCCACTACATTTTTAAAATCTAATCTTCATATTTTTTCTAATTTAGATGTACAAATAGTACTGCCATAGGGGGGAAAATAGATCTTATAATGACCAAGAAGTTCCCTGAGCTTCCATGCTGATAACTGCTCTCCAGAGTAGTTATCAAAGTAACCACTTTCATCTATTTTAGCTGTTTCTTTATTTCTAAATAACATGTTTGCACTACTAATACTTGATTTTTTTTTTTCAATTTAAGGTATCAGCTATTAAATTCCTACTGTGAAAGATGAGCCCTCATCTTTAGTGTTCTCGCTCTCTCTCACACACACACATACACACAGAGTCTACCGCCACCATCACACATACATGCAATTCCCTTTTTTCCATGTTCCCAATATCATAACATTAGACTAGAGCAATAATCAGTGCTTACACACAGCTAAAGCTGAGCCATGTGATATCCTATGGTTACATTTATTTATTTATTTTTTACAAACTTTCATTTTCCCTGGAGTTAATCATTGTGGGTTTGTTTGCTTATTTGTTCAATTCTTTTTCGATGTACCCATTATTAATTCATCCTCAAATTCTCTACCGAAAGTATAAATATACCATTACATTTTTGTTCTTTCCATTTCACTCTCAGACTAACCTTAATTTTAGGGGTATCTTTACTGCCAACCCTCATATGCCATCTACAAACAAAAGGTGAGAATCTAATGACTGGCTCTATTGCACAGCCATTCTCAAAGATCCAAGATCTTGAGATGTGGACGTGTACTACGTAACACTGATTTCACAATCAAAGAACACCTTGAACAAGTACTTGAAATATATATATTTCATAAGTCCTGGAGAAATGTTGTGGAATGAGGTTTATATTTTTGTCCAGACTGGAAGGCCTACCCCCTTCCAGGGAGGGCAGGGCAGCCAGGGAAGGTAAGAGGAAAGGGTTCAAAGGTGTTCCCACCTGATACACTTCTTTCTTTTCTCTATTACTGTTCCAGATGCTGGTCACCAAGAAGGCCCCATAGGCACCTTTTAAGGCGGCCTCTACCGATGCTTCATCATCCAGGTCCCCTTTCACCACCTCAGCACCAAGGTCCTGGAGCGCCAGTGCATTTGGTTGAGTCACATCCCTGGTTAGTGCTCTCACGGCGAACTTTTTGCCCTCCAAAATGGCCTTGGCCACAGAGCCACCCTGAGCTCCTGCAGGATTGGGGAAGAAGAAATAAAAGAAGGATCAGGAATAATGTTCACTGAAAAAAAGCTGGTCAGGGAGTCCAGTTATTCAGGGTACAGCTGTTGTGATAACTACTTCAGGAGGCTTCCCCGCGGCTTGCAACGGTGGTTTGCGAACTAGGTTTCTCACAGCCTTGTCAGAGTCCAGCAGAGAGAGGAAGAATAAGAGTGTACTGAGGCAACGAGGAGGCCAAATGAGCCCCAGATTCAAATGGGTACTTCTACTTTTATCTGCTTATAGATTTTATTTTCAGGTTCTTCATACAATTTTATTTTCAAAAGGGGTTTCTAAAAGGTTGAAACTTAACACAAGTTTCTTTTTACGGCATTCGAAGCCATGCATAATATGATCATTACTTGCTTAACTTATCTTCTCTGCAAATATTTACTAAACGTCCTGTGATATATGCCAGTCCTATGCTGGGTTACTGACATTTGGGATCCTCCGTCAGATGGGTTGCATACCCGTCCTGAATATATTTTTTGTGCCTTCAGATCTACCTTCGCCTCCTCCACCCTGCCTAGTGCTCTGAGAGAGGCTGACCTGTATGGACTCTATCAATGTGCTCTCTTGCACTCAGGTTGGTCTGGTCAATGAGAGGCATCAGCCACAGATCTGAGGACAGGAAAAGAGGTGAACCCTCCACACGGCTGCTCTCCCCAGGTTTTGGTTATCTCTCTTACACTTTACTCTTGCCTCCTGTTGCTTACTTATTCTTTATCGTTCTCTTCTCTTTCCACTTTTATTCAGTTTTCCTCAGCTTCTCTGAAAGAGTATGGCACTTGTTTCTTGTGGGACCGAACCAAATTGATATGCCACTGATAACCCTATAGGGTCTGCCATTTAATGAGCTTTGCCTTTGCACAAAGAGCTTCAGCTGAAGGTTAGTGCTCTAGTGGTAAACATGAACAGACAGCCAAAGGTCACCAGATGTTTGAAGAAAGCCTCCAGCAGGAAAGGCAAAACAACAAAAAAACACCCACCACCACCAACAACAAAAAACCTGATAAAAGGAAACAGAAACAGTGCGGTGAACAGAAGAAAACTTTTAAAGGATTGATATTTTCAGAGACTGGAGAAGACTGTGCATTCAGAACACTACATCTGCATACTGTACAAATAAAAGGGGAGGGAGAGGCAGAAGAGAAAGAGAAAGAGTATTCAAAAGGAAATATGAATCTCAGAAATTTAAAATATAGAAGAAATAAATTTTTCAATAAGAAAAGTTGGAGAAATCTCCCAGAATTGAGGAAAAAAAGCAAAGAAATGGAAAATAGAAAGAGGAAATAGACGATCAAGCCAGGGGAATTCCAGAATGAGAGAAGAGAAAATGAAGGTGTGGAATTAGCAAAGGAGATAATTTCCCAGGGTTCAAGGGTTATAAATGAACTTTGAAATTAAGGGGGCACCGAGTACCCAGCACAATGAACAAATGAAGTCCCAGATTGTTTACATAATTGTGAAATTTCAGAACACTGGGGATAAAAAAAATCTTTACAGCTTTGATGGAGACAGGGATGGTGATGAATTCAAAGGTGGGGATAAAAATAGCATCAGATTTCTTTATAACACTGAACGCAATGGAGTGAGGCAATGTAGGAGGAAAATTAATTTCTGTCTACAATTCTAAACCTAGCCAAATAGTCCGCTGAGTCTAAACATTTTACATAAAGACATTTTCAGACACTCAGATTTCAAAAATTTAACTCCTATGCACTCTTTCTCTATAAGCTACTGGAGGATATTTTCTAGCAAAATGACAAAGGAAAGCAAGCAAGAGGAATCTAAGAAACAGAAACCAAACCTAGGAAAAAGGCAAAGAGAATTGTTAGAATAATGAGGAAGAGAATCCTAGGAAGATTGAAATTAAAAGATGGAGCACTCCGGGAGGGAGATCTCCATGGGGGTTGGGGGACAGAACCAACAGATTAATGATGCATTTGCTCATTTTGAAAGAAATCATCTAGCTTTATTGAAGAGATTAGGGAAAAGTGAATGATAGGTACAAAGAAAATGAAATGAATAAGAAATAAAGGCAATTATTAATTTCAGGAAAAACGAGAAATTATGTAAGAAAAGAAAGCGCACACTACATGGCTCAAATATGAACAATAATTACATAATCATAATATGGGCCCATATTAGTCCATTGTCCATATGAAAAAAGACAAATTGTTATAAGCTATATGGGGAGGATGAGAAAAAAGAAGTATGTCCTTGGGGCTGTGGATATAGACAATGGATAAAGACAATGCATAACAACTAAAATTGAATATCGAGAAATAGCATCTTATCACATTATTTAGAAATATGGAGACAAATACCAATAGAAACAGAAGTAAGGGGTAGGGCAGGGTCTGCTAGGCTTCTTTATAAGCTTTGTAGGACTATTAGACTTTTAAAACTATTATATACACATCTATAGAAATAAAAATTCAATAACAAATATTCATTAGCTATATTAGTTTTCTAGGCATGTCATAACAAAATTCCACAGATTGGTGACCTAAACAATTAAAACATATTTTCTCACAGTTCTGGAGGCTAGAAGTCCAAGATCAAAGTATTGGTATGTTTGGTTTCTACTGAGATCTCTCTCCTTGGTTAGCAAATGGAGAGCCTTCTTACTGCGTCCTTAGGTGGTCTTGCCTCTGTGCACTCCAGCCCCTCCTGTCTCTGTGTGTCAATTTCCTCTTCTTGAAAAGACACCGGTCAAATAGGGTTAAGGCCCCTCTCACAGACTCATTTTAACATAATTGCCTCAGTAAAGTCCTTATCTGCAAATAGTCATATTCAGAGGTACTAGAAATTAGGGCTTCAACATATCAATTTGGGGGGGCATACACAGTTCAGCCTACATCGACTATTGTAATTATTTCCATATAACCCCGCTACTAAACTGGGTTCTCCTCGAAGACAGAAACTATTTATTCTTTATCCCTGTTTCCCAACCATGTGCTGAGACTATTCCCTGGCAAACCGTAAGTTTCCAATACCTATGTGTTGAATGACTGAATTAATAAATAAATCGGAAAGACTGAAATCTCTGTGCTCTCAACTCTTAGCTTTGGAGGTACAGTCCTGCCTGGACCTGTGTGAGATGAAGAAGCAAATGACATGGACCAGTGTGAAAAGATAAGAGGAGATGGACCAAACTCAAGCCTGGCTCTCCTAACCACTCCCACTCTAATGTTTAAGACGCGAACCAGGAGAGGAATTCATCCACCTAGGCTTTGCTCCTTTAAATTAGCCAGACATACTCATAAATTCATCAGCCCAATAAAGCAGCCCCAGAACATCCATTCTTGACATACTCAGTTGTCTCAGACCCTCCTCGCTTATTCTGGCTTGTTCACTCATGGACCCAGTTTCCTACTAGATGATTCCATTTTGAGATAAGAAACATTCCGTGTTGACATACGAAACATTCAAACCTGTAGAGAATTTTTATAAGAGTTTATGTGAGCTGAACTGACGATATATGCCAGAGAGCAAGATCTCAAATGCTCTGAGCAATAAGAGTTTTGCCGTTTCTTTTATGCATTTGAAATTAAGGAGGGAATGTAAGGAAAGTGACATGGAGGTGAGACAAAGCAAGGCGGGGATTGTGTTACAGGATAGTTAACAAGATAACATGTTCTCTTGAGGGTGTTATGGCTTATTTCAAAGGTGTGTTAACCTAGATGCTCAAAAACAATGTACAGGGCTTGCTTAAGGCAAAGATAAGCCTTTTACTACAGAAGTTATAGGCCTGGGGTGTGACTACCCACCATGACCTGCCCTGTTAGGAATGTATGATCAGATCATCCTGTGAGGTTACTTTCCATAGAACCCCTTTTTTTGTCCAAAACAGCATTTGATGGCAGGTTCTAGAGGTATTGTTCAGAACTGGATGTGCAAACACATACACAGGTTAAAGGTTAACATGTTTCCCTGTCGAATTTAACTAGGCATCCTATATTTTTATCTGCTAAATCTGGCAACTTTACCTTAAAGACCTGGGCAGTAAGGTAATCAGCCCTATCCTCAGCTAAGCAGGAATCAATTTTCTTCAGCTCTGACACATCTAATCTGATTCCTTTAGGAGCAACTCCCAAGGCTCTTATCCAGCTGCCTATTCTGAACACCTAGGCTCAAGTTTCACAGACCAAAATGGAGCTGCTGGTGTTCCATGACCTGCTCCCACCACGTTTTTTTTCTGGTTTCACTGGTTCACAATTTTACTCTTCCAGCTGCTCAAGCCGGAATACTCTAAAGTCACTGTTTACTCCTCTCTTCTCACCGCTAATATCTGGTCCTTCAGCGAGTCCTGCCAACTCTCTTTAGAATGCACCCGGAATCTGACTGCTCCCCACCACCTCACTGCTGCCACTCTGGTCCTAGCCATATTTTGCCTGGATTATGGCAGCAGCCTCCTAAAAGGTCTCCCTGCTCAGCCCTTGCCCCCTACAGTCTCTTCACAAAACAGAAGCTAAAATCATCCCTTTAATACCAAAGTCATCTCATGTCACTCCTCTACTCAAAATCCTTTAATGGCTTCTCATCTCTTTCGAGGAAAAATAATATTCTCACTATCACCTAATGCTTTCTAAAATCATTTACTTTGTGTCCCATTTACCTTTTATTTTTTTTCCTTTTTAAAGTCAATATACCTGGCTCTTGGCTTTTGCAAATCTATTTCTCCCCTCTCTCTGCTCTAGTCCTTTCTTAACCCTTCAGACAAAACTCCTGTGCTCATAGAGCTTATATTCTAGAATGGAGAGTCAGACAGTAAGGGAAGAAATCAAGCAGGGAGGGCAGCCAGACAGTGGCAGGGTGGAGAGAAGTTGCAATTTTAAAGATATTGGTCTGGGAAGTGCTCATGGAGAGGGCGACATCTGAGCAGAGTCATGAATGACACGAGAGAGAAAGAAGTGTGAGGAACAGGAGGAAGATTATTTATTCCTGGTTGAGGGGGCAGCCAATGCAAAGAATTTAAGGCGGGAGTGTGTCTGAGGAACACACAGAATAAGTAAAGAGGAGTGGTAGAAGATGAGGGTTCATTAGCTGGACTTGGCATTTTACTTGGAATGAGACAGACATTGGAGGGTTTTCAGCAGAAGCATGTTATGATCTGATAGTTTCAAATGGATCACTGAGAGGCTGAAATGAGAACAGATTGAAAGGGAGTGGCCTGATTTGATTAACATTTTGCAACGATGGCTCTGGCTTTCAAAGAACCGGTTGTAAAGGAGGCAAAAGTGAAAGCAGAGACTGCAGTAAAAAGGCTCGGACAGCTGAACACATGAGAGAAGTCACTTAGCACATTCTCCTAACCCCCACCCACTCCATTCTTTCAGATTTGCTGAAGTATTGGTCAGGCATGTGGATACCCCCTACAAACCCATGAGTCTCTCACACTTGCTCCTTTTCACTTGTCAGGAAGTGAGTACAGAAAAGTTTCTAGAGTACAGCTTCTGTCGAAATGAAACTCAAACCAATAAGTCAGCAGACGATTGAAAAAGAGAACATATCAGCTGAGATCATTTCTGACAAATCAAATCAAATCACCCAGCCCCTTTACCACAACAGAAACTCAAACAATAGGACACTTTTCTTAATTTCCTCCAAAGGGCTCTTTGTTCAGCCCAGGCTTGCAGACTCTGAAGTTAAAAACATGATGACAGGAAAGTAAGCCACGTCAGGATGCACTTTAAAAGTAAAGAGTTTTTTACCTGTAGCTCCAAACACTGCAATCACTTTCTTGCTGGTCATGTTACTGGACAAAGAAAGAGTTAGGCGAGTAGCTGCACTTTCCTCAGAGCAGTGAAGACAGCCGAATCTGCTTCTTTTCTGCCTTGAGAATAATAAGCCACATTTGATTACCACGTATCTTAGTTTGCCCCTCCTTTGACAGTTTTATTGTTCTTATTAGCTAGCTTAGTCAGAATGACACTGCAATTTTCTAGATTCATTTGTTCACTGCTTCCTGTTCAGCAGATTTGTATTCAGTGCCCTTCGTATACTAGGCATCGAACTAGAGGTTCTGGTGATTTAGATCTTGTAAGGGAGATAAATAAATTAGTAAATAAATATATAGTAGAAAGCAATGGCAGAGGGGACATAGGTTATAGAGAAAAGACACAAAATCCAGACTAGGGGTGTTAGGGAAAGTTTTCCAGAAGAGATGGTGCTGGAGCTGGCCCTAAGACCCTATGGGTTCAATCAGGGACAGTAGGAAGAGATAACTCATACAGGAGCTACACATAGCCAAGTTCAAAGGCACGGCAGTCATAACACAAGGCTCACAATGACTGCAACAATGCTACGGGAATAGCAAGAAGAATGGGAAAGATGGCAGAGACCAGAACACAAAAAGCCTAGTAGGCATAGCAAGATACTTGGATTTACTCTGACATCCACAGCAGGTTTTATGAGATTCTGGCAGAAGGGTAGAGGCTGGGTTGAAACAAGACAATGCTGGAAGCAGGGATACTCCGAAGGAGGCTAAAGAAATGATATAGTTGAAAAATTACAAATGCTCAAACATGTGTTTGGGGTTGAATTGTGTCCCTCCAAAATTCATATGTTGAAGTCCTGACCTCTAGTACCTCTGCGTGTGACCCCATTTGGAGATAGGGTCTTTACAAAGGTAATCAAGTTAAAGTGAGATCATTAGAGTGGCCCTAATCCAATATGACTGGTATCCTTATAAAAGGGAAAATGTGAACACAGAGATGTGTACAAAGGAAAAATATAGGGAGAACGCCATGTGAACATGAAGACAGCCACCTGCAAGCCAAAGAGAGAGGTCTGGAACAGACCTGGGTAGGCGATGGAGGAGCAGGAGCAAGGCTCAGGGGGAAATGAGCTCAGAATCGAACCTACTGGGTTTGAGGCTACAGTTTGTCGTGTGATTGAGAGAAGATGAAGTAAAAAAAGCAAGTGTAGCTTCTCCTTTAAGGAGCCTTATTGTAAAGGAAGTGAGAATGAACTATGGTTACAAGATGAAATGGAATTTTATTTCAATAGGGAAGATGTGAACATGTTCCTGGGTTAAAGGTAGCTTTCTCCATCCCTCATAGTCTGCTTTATTTTGTTCATAACACTTACGACTTGACATGTTACAGGTATATTTATTTGTTCGTATATTTATTTCCACCCCACTTCCCCAACTAGACTGTATGTTCTATGAGAGCAGTGACTTTTATTTTTATTCACTCGTGTATATCACCGGGGCCTAGAGCTATATCTGACACATAGTAAGTACACAATAAATATTTGTTGAATGAACGAATGAATGAACAAATGGAGTTAGGTTCCTAAGAAATGCTGGAGGGCAGGGACTCTGCAGCACTGATGAAAGGGCATTGAAAATAGCAGCTACTGCAGAGATATCTGGGACCCTCTGTCAAATATGAAGACAAATTATGGGTCTGCAGCCCGTCTGCCCTTTGCCTTTCCCTCTACTGTCCCACTCATATAACTTGCCTCTGCCTAATTATCTTTGCAAGAGGAAGAAATTCTCCTAACTGCCCCCCTCTCTGCTCTACAGTGCAACTCACTATGAAACTGAGAGGTTACTCTACAGTTGTTACAGATTGGAAGAGTTGGTCATGCACACCTGTGCATTTCTTAGAGGCAAAGCTGCAGAGGCTAAGCTGGACAAGCTAAATCCAGAGGGCCCAGTAAGTGGAAAATTGTATGTTCTCATTTCTACGATAAAAATACTAATGGAATAAAGTCAGCTATGTCACAAGAAAGATACGCAGTGCCTCTGCTACCCTAAACTACACACAATCCTACACTGGCCATATAGAGAATTCTCAGTACCATTCCAAGCAGACATGCAAAAGAGATAAAGATTTAGATTCAAGGTAGTTTATCCATACCATTATTTGTATTGAAAAGAACTGCAGACAATCTAAATGTCTGCCACGAGGGATTAAATAAATGATGGCATAGCCGTCATTTTAATGGAGAATTGAATATCTCCATTAAAAATTACAGTTTCTAAGAATTTTCTTAAAATGGAGAAAGGCTCAAAATATAGTTATATGAAAACAGCAGACTAGAGAACTGCATATACAGTGTGATTCCAGGTTGTAAAGGGGAAAAAAAATTATACACACACACACTGTATACACACATGTAGCCTAAGAGTACTTGAGTGATTTTAGGCAATATGTTCGTGGTAGGGCCAGAGGACTCAGCATGACATGACATTGTTCTCACACTTTGATTACAGCATAGTACAATGACATGCAGATTCTAAGAGCTGACAGAAAAAAATTAAAAGTCTATGAGTACACGGTAGCCAAAAGTTGGAAACAACCCAAATGTCCATCAAGAGTAGAATGGGTGAAATGTGGCATATTCATACAATAATATACCATACAGTAATAAGAATGAATAAACTAACGCAATATGCAACAACCTGCAAGAATTTCAGAAATAAAATGTTGAGCAAAAGAGTAAAGGAATATCTAGCATATGATTTAGTTTATATAACATTCAAAAGCAGGAAAAAACTAATCTATGATGACAGATTATTTTTAGGAGTAGTGACTGGAAGGAGCTTAAAGAGGCTTCTGCAGGGCTGGTAACATTCTCTTAATCTGAGTGTTGATCACATGAGTGAATTTATTTTGTGAAAATCTTAGCTGTGCAGTTAAGATTTGTGCAATGTTCTATATGTGCCTTATACTTCATTAAAAACTTTACTTTAAAAATAATCTATAAGTAAAAACCAAAAGCTAAAGTGACTGAACAGGAATAGCTAACATGGGCAGGTACCATCCTGTAAACATTTACACTGGGTGGAGACAAAAAACTTCAGCTTTTTAACTAGGCAAATCTCTACCACGGCAAGTAGGAACATGGTAACTTCAGCAAGTTCTCAATATTATTATAGTAAATATCAGCTGAATCACTGGTGTTCTGAAAAGGAAAAAAATCCCTTGTCGCTTGAAGATAAAGGGGAAAAAAAAGTCAAAGGAAGTGCTTACGAAAGGCCTGATATTCCAGCTTAGATAGGAATGAGTTTTGTTGAGCTGTGTTAGAAAGATATTCCTAGTAAAGAAAAGAGCTTTACAAGCTCTTGCCTGTTTTAAGTATAAAAAATTTAGATGAAGCTCTTTGCTTTTGTTTCTCAGACTTTGATTTTTCTTCTTTATCAAATAATGCATTCCTATGATGAAAATTTGGAAAATTCTGGTAAGTGTAAAGAATTAAGAACAGTTTTCTCATACTATCGCTACTCTGAGGGAACCAAACTTAGCATATTTGGTCTCATAATTTTAATGTATTTTTTCTTTACACCATCGAGATAACTCTTTATGAACAATTTAGTATCTATTGAAGAGTAAAATAAAGATGAACAAAAATAAAGGTAAAACAATAAAAACATGTTAGTATATTCAAGACTTTATTCATCAGCATTCTTATTTGCAAACCATAGACACTGGTAATGAAAATTATGCAAGAGACTTGGGTTAATCTTAGAAACTTGAGAAATGCTGAGAGCAAAGCTCAGAGAATTGAGCAGCCAGGACGTATCTCAAAATGATATCATAGAACTTGCCTGGCAAAGATACCATGGCTGCTGCCACTGAGCACAGCCATCACAGCTTATAACACCAACACTGCCGACTCTGGATATGGGCCAGGACAGTCAGAGCTGCTACCCTACCCTGCAGTCTCTGGTAACTGCATGTAGCTGCTGCTGTGGTCTCTACCCACTTCTACAGCATGCTCTGTACAATATTGTTTCTTTTGCATCACTAAGTTCTGATTCCAAGACTGCAGTGGTACCCAGCTGCAGGGAAAGCAAGCACCTGGGATCCACGGCTTCCACAATGGAAACAGGCTTTGTGGCATGTGAAGATTCCCACACACATACTGAAGGAATTAAGATGCTAAGTGATCATAAGATATAAATTTTCAACACAGTCTACCCCTTAGGCTCCCCAAAGTCAACATATGTTTCTTCCCACACTCATACAACTTTTAAAACAATAACATCTGACATATAACACAACTACCTCATACTTTTAACCTGTCCCCAAAGTGATTAAAACAAAATCTCAATTATTGGACTCAGAATCAACACGGGACAATGCATATCTCTCTTTTAATTGTCTTAGATTCCATCTTGAACACTTATCCACTATTATTTAAATTATAAAATTAACAAGCATTTCTATGTAAAATACTGAAAGGGAGAATAAAGATAAAAATCAATCCAAAAATATACATATGTACATGAAAATGACAGTAGATGTTCAAGTCCTCGTTTGTGCAACTGAATTCAAGGCCATAGCTGGTATTTATAACTTGCCTTCTCAACTACACATTGTTATCTTTACCTAGAGCCAACAGAATCTCAGCTGATCAAACCTTTATTTTAAGAGTTGAATTCTTAGTGTAATTAAATTACATCTACTTACGTAAGGTTACTATAGTTTTTCATGAATTTTCACCACTAGATTTGGCAAAACATGTCAACAACCCACCAACAATTATGGCTCTTTCTTAGTGGTACAACCATTAGTCCTTCCATTTGGAGAAAAACCAGCTGGTCCTCAAAAACATTACTGAGATGACACACCATTGTCATTTCACGGGATTCTTCTTCTATCCTCTGACATATTTGTTTTTGACAAAGGCATCTAGCTAGGGTAACTGTTTTCAGTTCTATAGGTCATTGCATCCTGATGTCATCAGTATAGTGGACTAGTGTGTAATAGCCTGTGGACTGATGAAATAATAGAGGCTCCTGTAGCACAGAGCTGGAGAATTTACCTAACCTTGATGGCAGGCAATTAAGGTGTGTTGCTGTCCCTTCTAGGAAAGAGATGTTCTCAGTTATGTGAATCAAGGATAAATATAATTTGTTAAGTCAATAGCTATATATCCGTTATCAGGAC